TATGATACACTAATTATTTCATTTGGGTTAATAATTACATTCCAGGAATTTGACTTTCATGAGAGTCGATAAAAAAGATCTCTTTACTTTTAATAATGTGAATACAGCTCAAAATATTACAGGATGAAGATATCAAATTACAGTTAAATTAAAGATACTTCTAGAAAGTTCAAATAATTCATGGATTCATGGCTCTAGCTCTATTTTAATGACATCATCTTGCTATTCTAATGATACATATAAATATGTTTGCATTTATCACTCAGCTTTGCAACAGATTTGTTGTTTATTTTGTCATATCTTTTCAGCAACAATACAATCTATCTACAGAAACACCGACAGGCCTGTAATACATGAAACTAAAAGGCTTCAGTCAGCAATTCACAAAGAGGGGTTACAGAGAAAATCTGAGTTTTCTTCTGCAATTTATATAGCCCATTTCCATCCATTAAACTCAAGGTGTTAAATTATCATTCATTGTGACAGAAATTACGATTTTTAAAAGTGATTTAATGATAAAATGACTCATGTGCCTTGTCAGATTGATTTATAGAGCTTGAAATTTCAATAAATGTGAGTTGCATTAATAACTAAAAAATGAGACTGAGCTGTTGTTGTGAAACTGCCCATATGTGAATCATTTTATCAGAATACTAATTCACTTCTTAAAATCTGCTGTGATTTGTTACTGCTTTTCACATCTTGAAAATATATTTCACATTTTCTTTTTAGTGGGATCCATTAAGGCGAAGTAGGCTTTATCATTATTTTAGTTATTTATGTTTTACTTCACATCTATTTTTTAAATATTGTAATATAAGGTGAAAATACTCTGAATAATATCATATAAATCTGAGTACAGTTCAAAACTGACAGGTCACAGAAGAGTTTAGTTCTAGTAGGAGCATGGTAGTTGTAACATTGTTTGCTTTTGTCTAATTTAGTCTTTCGACTACCACCAGATGTCAGAGCAATAGAAATCCTACATGATACTGTAATTCTCAATATTTACATAACCTGGGATGTGACGGACCAAATAGGTTGCAAGTGCAAGTCAGTTGTAACTGCTGTTGTTTTTATTTGTATTATGCTTTGAAAGGTAAATGTAATTTAACTAAAGTATTTTGTTAATTATTGGTTGGTCACAAAACAGGAGTTTCACCGAGGTCCCGACTCGGTGAAAATACAAAAAATACTATATATCTTCATAAGAAGGTAGCATGGGAAAGAAGTACAGTACAGTAGATCAAATAAAGAATTTTTCTGAAGCAAGAAATAATCCCTCTGCTCCTATTCTTTTTTTTACCATTTGCCAGTTTATGGTTTAATTAGAGGTACTGTAATACATTTCCATATGCTTCTTTCTGTAAGAAAGAAAACAAAAGAAAAATATCTAACATGATGGGGAAAAGTAACATTTCAGTTTAAAAGAATTACAGTACATGTTCTCTCATAAATAGATGTAAATAGATCATGATGGATGTCACCCAAGTCATGTCATGTTCATGAAGACGAAAAACATTTTCTGTTTTCCCTCCTGGTACTAATAAACGTTTAGGAATAACACTAGCTTTTGCATTAAATAATTTAAATGATCAGTCTTATTTTTTTCTGCATTACACCATCCTATTTTTCTTTTGAAATGAGCATGCCACAATAAATGTTCCTGTAAAGAAAAATGAATTATTGCTCTGTGGAATGAAGCCTTTAGTTTATTACCATTTTCAATATGGATATGTACAACTTCACTAAAATTTATTCTAACTTGTAAATCAACCTGTTCCTTTCTGTACACTTTTGACAGTGATGGAAATGTCTAATGTTTTCAGTCCTTCATATTGTTTGAATGCTTTCACTAAAATTTGACCCCTCCCTCACTTACCCCTGGCTTTTCTCGGATATGATGTCTTACTTTATAACGAACTTATGTAACAAGTCCCTAAGCACAGTTATGACTCAAATTTCTATTCTTTCTATGGTGAAATATTCAGTAATTGCTGTAAAAAGCTTCTTTCTAATTTGTAGTGTGCATGGCCTTTTACAATTAATCAAAAGCTTTGTGCCTCAGAATTATGTTGTTGCCAAATGATGTGTGGAAGGACAATAGGTTTGCATAATAGTTATTAATTAACCTAATGGTGATTGTAAATTGACTTTTTGAATTGAATTGGATCTTTACATGACATCTGTTACCCTTTCAGTACAAGGTTCATAATGTTCAGCCTGCTGCAAGGAGTAACCTTCAATTTTAAATTAACTTAAATAATCATGTACTGTTTATACATATCATTTACTCATTAGGAAAAGAGAACGTTGTTATCTAAAATGAAATAGTGACTTTACTGACTTCACAGCTCACAGAACCTCCCAAAAATTACATCTCGCTTTCAAAAAGACCCTAAGAAACAAGACACTTAGAGTACCTGTATATTACAGTATATTACAGAAGATTTATGCCAGATATTTTGTTTATTAAGTTAATATGACAGTATTTCTCCATTCCGTTTAGACATTCTGTACAGTATGTGTGGGATTATTTGCTTTGATAAAACCAGACTTTTAGTCTTAAATTCACAACTCTTTGGGGTTGATATGTGTAGGGTTAGTTAATATAACCTTATTGAAGGTAAGATATCTACTACCTGTTTCTTTCCTTAGTACATCTTGGAAATTGATTAAAAACAGGAGTGGAGAAAGCAGTAATCAAGATTGTGATAGGACAGTTACCTGTATGTTTAATGTTCCCTGCATGGTGATAAGTGTCTCTCAGTTCTTGTGTAGATGTAGATTTTAGGCATACAGTAGCTTCCTGTGAAGTAAAACTTCAGTACATACTTTAGGTCATATTTTGATACTTTAGAGACCAGTAGGGTAACTTTTAAGGCATAATCCATTTTTTGCCCTTTGCTAAGATTTATGAGATATTAAGTATTAAAATATAAGTTTTCACAAAGGAAATACCATTACATCTGTTTATGTTGTTGTACTTAACTATTTTTGTAGTCTCTGACATGAAGGTAAATGTATAACTTCCTTACAGAAAAAGAATTAGTCAACATTCATATGAGTATTGTACACATATGAATGTTGTACTCATAATTTTTTTTTATGAACGATAAACTTTCTTCAGATTGGTTGGAGTAGGAGGTAAAAATTTAAACAAATAAAAGTACTTGGGATAAAGGCTAAAAAATAGCATAGTTGTTCACAGTATATATTACAAAGAAATATATCAAAATAGGTTTGATGAAACCCTAAATGCAGATAAAACATTGTGTTTTAAAATAGAGTAAGAGTAGAAGAGTAAAAAGAAACTTTTAATATCACTATAGTGCAACAATAAAAGTGTTAATGGACACTTTTAAAATGTATGCAGTACTTTACATCACTGATCCAATATCTAACAATACACTGTATTTACAGTCTGTACTTGTATATCTAAAGCCAAAGATCTGTCAAACTTTCTTCTACAACTGATGAAAGAGGCAATGGATTAAATGTAAAATATCAACAGAAACACAGTAGGCATGTACGATAGTAAATGTACAATGTACACAACAACTATAGGTTTTTTTGTCATACAGTACCTCATTGGAAATTAATTATGCAAAAGCAACTAATTTTGCTGTTCTTTTGTCAATGGAATTCTAGTTACTGTATATAATCCAGTTAACTAATAGGAAAAGCTGTATCCTCTTAAAGATATATACCTAGTTGTGTTTTGAAAACTAAATGGTCAATATAATTTGTTGCAATTTGTGTACACAGTAGGAGATGTGGAATGTTTGTAGCACAAAAAAAACCCCAAACCACATGGATTTAGAAAAAAGCTATGAAGTCTGTACGATTTTGTACAATCAAAAAGCGGTCTACATACTGATCATACTTACTGTACCTAAGCAAATAGAAGGTAGAGTTTAAAACATTTCAAGTGTTTAATTAAATTTAACCAAAAGTATCAGCCTTATCTATTAAAACAAATAGGAGCACACTACTTGTAATTAGATTTAATAGCCTAGTCACAAAAACACCAGCACAGCATGTAGTATCTATTTTACTTTACAATTATGTGGTGAAGCTTGGGTATTAAATTATATTTGAAGCACATTATCAAACAAATTCGAAACACTGGGCCAAGTGTGCATTTACTGTATATTATATTCTTTCAGCATCGCTATTTTAAAAGTGTTTTTTTCATAGCGAGCTGGAAAGCTTTCATTGATTGCATATGGAGCCACAATTAGTTTAAAATGCTATCTTCTTTGTCTAAATAAATATTGTAAACACAAATTTCTCCTGTCTATTTTCTTTAATGCAATTCACATTGCCATTAATAGATCACAAACAAAGTTAATTTAATCCATACTGAGAAAAAAAAACATAAGAGTTAAAATAAGTAATGGAGAGAAACAGGGAAGTGATATGTCTTCTGTAGTTTAATCTGAATGTGGTAAGAAGTTTCAGATTTAGTGAAATTAACATCAATACAAAAATCTACGGCTGAATATACTTCTTAGGATATATAACTACAGCAGCACTTGTATAGATCTCAACCAAAAAGTTCTCACTAAAAATCTGCTTTACATTGAAACAAAATAGAGACTATACAGCATATACTAACAATACCAACTAATGGAACACAGCTTTAAAAAATATTTTGAATAGCATTTATAAAATCAGTTAGGGCAATATTATCCTGGAATGTACTTTAAAAATAATTTCAAGGTGCAGTTATTCAGGCAAGTTTAAATTCAATTAGTATTTTTATTTTAAATGTATTAGACCTTTAACCACATACAGTACATTGACCTTTGTTTTCCTAAGAATGAATAAAACACAGAACACTGTAAAGGAGATTCTAAATTAAATAACAATTAATGTATTATTGCACAAGTAAAGGTTGATAAAAAAGCTCTAAAATATCTTAGAATGAGAATATAATACACAATTGTGCCCTTGAACCTTTTGGAATTAAATTAATTATTTTAATTGTTTTGCAGATTGTCTCTGACTATCATGGTTTTTGTCAACTATGGTGGAGGGGGTTACTGGTTCTTTGAACATGCTCCATGGAATGGTAGAGTAACTCTTCAGAATAATATGAACACTTTCAAAATCAATTTTAATTTCTTCAAGGGCTGAAATAAATGCTGTTTGATGAAGAAGTAATGACCAGTTTATTACACAAACTTTTATTATTTAATATTTCTCAACAAAAAGTGGAAATAGGTTATTATCAACGTTTGAATATCCCATTATTTAAAAAAAATACTCTACATATTTTTGTGAAGTATAAAATATACTTTACCATGATAACTAATATACTAAGATACTGAGGACTGGTTAAGGTGCTCTTTGCTACCACCAGTAGAGAGTGTTTTAACTTTAATTGTAACGGATTCTATGCAATTTGTTATACCCCAGTTTACTTAATAGAAAACAATCTAATATATGCAGTTCTGAAGATTTTAACAGATATGTCTATTGTTTATAAGCACTTACTGTATAATGGACACTGAAAGTCATTACAATATACTGAATTGCACAGCCTGTTTTTGTTAGTTGTTGTTATGTTCTATCTTGGAGGAAATTAATGCAAAACTAAATATATCCTTAAGGTCATATGTTGTTCTTTTCCAGGTCAAAAACATTGCTTTAAAAATGAACCACTATTATATTTATAAGATTTTATAGTACATAAATCTTTGTTGTTTCTGAGAACCTTATTTTTTAAAGTTGGGTGAAGGGTGTAGTTAAAATGTAAATAAGTAAAAGTATAATGAAGCTTAAAAAGTAACATCCATACAGTAAGAAATGTATGTGAACAACATGACATTTGATGAAAATCAAAATCAGATAAAATAAGTCCATAACAATATATTACAAATCATGCAATATCTGGCCTTGAGTTCCTTCGTATTTTTTCATCACAGTTTTCAAAAGTCAATTGAACTGATCAACAATATTATTATTGATCTGCAGAAAAGAAAAAGAGAAGGGAAGCAGTTTAAATTTTAATAGAGACTATTACATAGTGCGTCTCCAAGAGTATTTAAAGATGAACTCAATTTAAGCTTCATAATAGCCTCTTCATCACATCAGCAGAATTGTATTGATCATAAAACAAACCTGATGGGTTTTGATTTTACTGCATCGTAGATGTCTTGAACATCATGATTTATAATTCAGGAGGCGCTCAGGGTCTTAAAATGGAAAGCTAATGTCAAGTCCTAGATCCGAAGGGGAAAAGATCGGTTTGTTCCTAAAATTCAGCTTTAGCCTGCTCCACACTGATGCTAGTTCTTAAATATTGGTGACAAGTGATGTTTAGAATGCTTGTTCTCCATGAAGCCAGGTCAAGAATAGAAGGAAAGAACAAGAACAACTTAGTACATTGTCAGTTGAAAGTATTTTGCTATTAACATTTACACACAGCTATAGCAGCTATAAGAAAAAGTACCACAACCCTTAAATCAAACATTGAAAAATGAATTTTAAAACAGTGTTTCAAAATGGAGTAAAAGTATTGCAGTCAATTTTGGCTCCATTTATAAATCTTTTATTGGTTTGTGAAAGTGTTATATTTTATTGTACTTTCTTTAAGTTTCTTTTATAATTTTAAACTTATTGAACTAATTATTCTTTTTTTAGGTCTGACCATTGCTGATCTTGTCATGCCTTGGTAAGTATACATCTAAAAATCTGCTCATTGCTTTTTCTTGAATTCTTTAAAGTTTTTTTTCCATGTAAAGGTAAGAATACTGAGTTGATATTGCACTCAGCTTCTTTGTAGTTTCCTGTCTGTTTTCAGAATGAACAGGGTATGTGTTCTGTGGTGTTAACATACGAAACTGTAACATATAATGAACAATATTGTTTTCACTATACTGTACATTTTTTGTTTTCATCGGTAGAGTACAGTACATGTTTATCTATTTCCGTCAGTACTTAGAGACAGAAATGAAAATAGTTGGATTAGACACCTACAGTAGATCAAGTTATATAGAGTTAACCTGCATACAGAGAAGAAAAAATCTAAGTGAATTTAAAATAAGACAATGTTGAGAAGAAACATACTGTGGTCAATAACAGTTCTAAAGTGATTGAAGATGTTGGAAGTAAGACTATTAGCTCCTTTACAGTCCATTAACATCTAGAAAAGCACAGTGCCAAGCCATGATACATCATAGGCAATACAATTCCTCAAGATTGGTGTTAGGGAGGCATTATGAATAATACTTTGTATTATTATTGACAAAAGGCCTCATAAGTTTAAACTTCAGTTTCATTGTGATGTACCTACAATATCCTTTGTTATTTGAAAGTGAGAAACAATACATTAATATGTCCTATTTGAAAAAAGGGGTGTTTTATGGGCTGTGTTATTATATTGCTTTTCCCCAAATAGTTTGTGATCTGAAGAACCAGCTTCCCATAAAGTGTGTGCAGTTACTCTAAACTTCAAAGCCACTATTTTCAAAAGAGCTCAGACAAAGTTATGTTTTCCAGTTTCTCAAACTCAGGGGAAAAAATGTGTATATACTGTACCAAAAAACACACCGAGTATCAAAAAAACATCATTTACAACTGTGACCACAAAGTTATTTTCAGGAAAATGACAATATTTTCATTAGCAGGTACACTGACATTGTATTGATATGACACAACATATCATCCACAGGGTTTAACAACTGGGGGTCTATGGACAGTAGTATGTGCAGTAGCAGGTTAACCTAGGGATAGTAGCATGTGCAGGCATGCTTGAAAGTAATACAAGCTGCATAGCTGCAATGTTTACTTTGCACCATGTTGCAGATGCTTCCATATGGGTTTCTGTCCTATTCCTCTCATAGAGCCTAGACAAGCATGTGACTGTTCACTGGTATCTGAGCCCTAGATGTTACACATTGTCCCGCTCATCCCAGAGATTTTCAGTAGGTTAGCCTGGTGAGTAGGGAATTCACAGGATAACTGTCACATTCTCATCTAGAAAGAAAGCGGTTGTTGTACAGTACGAGCAGCATGAGAATACATTGATCAGTGTACTGTAGAATGTGCTGTCAGGTTCCATTAATCTCTATAAATGGAGCTCTGTAGTGAGTACACACTCCTACCCCGAACATCACACTTGGAACTTCCCATTGATTGGTTTGTTGTACACAGAAGTCTTACTCCAAAATAGAGATGTCACGAAGGCATTATTCTATTGATAAGTAGGGTATATGTGTTCCTCCCTGTGTTTGTCTTTTCTTGATTTTCACAAGGTTCGATATTCATTAGCTTTAATCACCTCATTACCTTGCCCAATCAACTCTCTCCATAATGAGGAGATTTAGTGCTTATGCAACAGTTAAGTCCCTGAAGTGCATAATGTTCAGTCATGAATGAGCAAAATAATTCCAGAACCATTTAATCAATACTTAAAATCAAATGATTTTATTTTTCTTAAAACATACATACCTTGATAAATATTTTTTTACTGCTCATTACAATGAAATGTGATATTTCATATATTACTTTTTATTTTTATTCAAAATTTGGAATAGATAAGTGTCAAATAAGGACATACTGTGGATACAGTTTTAAAATATAAAAAATAATTATATTGAATGACATATTTGAGAGAAGGAATGGAACAGTTTCTGTAATCTGGTAGTTATTAATTGCTGTTTGTCTTATGACTCCAACACTTAAGACTTTGTTGTTAAAATAACAACATCTTTCGATATACTGTATACATCCAGGAAGTATTTCTTCTTGTTTTGATAGGTTTGTCTTTATAATGGGCACATCGGTTGCCCTGGCATTCAGCTCCATGCTGAAGCGAGGAGTGAGCAGGATACAGCTTCTGAGCAAACTGACCTGGAGGACCGTGGTCCTGATGCTCATCGGAGTTTTCTTCATGAACTATGGACCCAGGGATGGACCACGTGAGTGCACAGTTCTCTGGCTGAATCACACAGAGAAAGGAGTAGCCACAAGAGTTCTGTTTCACTGTTCATGGTTTAAAACAAAGGGGCATTATGAAATGTTTCATCCCTTTTCACAGTGTGGGAGATAAATTACATAAAACTTAGAGCCTGCTTGAATCAAAAGTTATTTGCTAAGGTAATTGCTGTTCTTTGTAGCTAATAGTCTTTTCTAACATAAATGCATACATTCGGCAGCCAGAATCCTGATTAGGTCTAGTGCAAGTGATCACATTACTCCTATGCTGGAGTCTTTGCACTGGCTTCCTGTCAGTGGAGACCCTGTGCAGGTCAGTCTCGTTAGGAAAATGGAGGAGGTGAACGATTCCAAAAGGGCTAGGCAGAGTCGGTATCCAAAGTAGTCACTAAGAGATTTAGCTTCTAGGCGGATCGCTAGTAGCTAGACAGAGGAGACTGTACAATACCAAGCGCAGAGGTGTGGACTGAGATGGGTTTAAATAGAAGGTCGGCATGGAATGTTAATTGTTAATTAACAATGTCCTGATGTGCTTATAGCAGACTTCAGAATTCTCTTGCTCACCTACAAGACTCTGCGTGGCTTGGCACCTTGACACCAATGTTAATAGACCTGTCTGACCTATTATCGCCCTACTCCCATCTTGCAACCTTCGCTCCTCTTATTCTCGTCTCCTAACTGTCCCCCAAGCCTGTCTATACTCTATGGGTGACAGGGCCTTCTCCTGTCATGCCCCAAAGCTCTGGAACTCTACCCCTAAGGATATAAGAGAGTCTCCTTCCCTAAACTCTTTCAAAAATAAACTCAAAACCTTTTTCTTTAGAAGGGCCTTTACTTAACTGGTTCTGTTATTTGCCCCTTTGCTCCTACTGTATTCAGTACCCCCTGTCTCCTCTCATTGTGCATATCTTTTTGTTGTTGTCCTTCTATAAAGTGTTTTGAGAACCTTTAAAGGCGCTATATAAAATAGTTTTTTATTATTATTATTACTGCTCATTGATGTAACTGATGATGTAATTTATTCACTGAGTGCTGTCATCCTGAGAATCATCTAAAGAAGAGAAAATTTAATTTATACAGTAAGGCATAGTAAGAGCTGCAGACTTTGTTTACCATTGTGCAAAAATTCCTATAGTATTGTATGTTACAGATTCATCCAATGGATAAGGATGTACATGTAAACAGTATATGATCTACTTTTACTGTGTGTAGTAATGATGTCCTCTCTAGGGAGAAAAATGTAAGTGAATGTACATCATCCTGGAAGTTACAATAATGTTGAAGTGAAATAACGGCACCCTGGAGAGAGAAATTAAATAACATATGTGGGAGAAGCCTAATTTTACCCACTGGACTACCTACATCTGCAGAAAAAATAATTACATTTTGAAAGTTCTGTTTCAATTTTTACCATTTTGAGAGAAAGGGAAAGAAAAACTCTTAATATAGAACACACTTTCAGCAGGGTTTCCAATATTTTCTGGAAGTCTTGCTCAAAACCTAAATCCTACACTAATTATGTCCCTGAGATCACCAAACCACTAGACAGTATTTTCAGTGATGTGAATATGTAGGATACAAACCCCAGGCAATGGTATTTTATGACAACACAGTCTAACTGATAATCAAGTTAATTAGGCTAGGACAACAGAAATAATACAAAACAGTTAAAAGTGACATGATGAATTCTTGAAAAGGACAAAGCACATAAATTGTTCATGTGTGTAATTTTCTGAAACCTGTTAGGGTTAAATATAAGAAGCCCTGTGAAGGCCTTCCAGGAATGTTGTGAGTTATCAGCATACAGTATGACACAGAGATAGTGGCCCACTGTGGTGCATTTTAGTCTGCCTTGATTGTATTGCTCTTTCCTGAAAGGATGGCTTAGTAATTAAGTTATCAAAAATATTATGATACTTTTAGGGGTAAAAATCATATCTAGGGACTTTTATAAAGGACAGATTTATCAAACACAACCCCTAGTTAATGGATAATTATATAAGATATGGTTACAGAGGGCCAGCTGTAAGGCATAATGGACATGCACATAATTGAATGAGGACTTCAAAAAATGCTATCTTTTTCACAGTATTCACCACTTAAAACTGGCTTTTGAGTTCTGTCAGATACATTTAAAAAAAATCCTGATTTTGTATTGTGGAAAATGCTTTTAGATTTGTATCCTGAAATCATGCTTTTTTTAGAAAAGGATATTCTCAGCTTGCACATTTAAAAGTAGGATGAGTTCAATGTAAATATGCATTGCCATTTTGAATAGTTAATTCCCGGGATTTAAATAACGGTTATCCTTTGAGATACGTGATATCCACAGCTCTTCCCCAGCCAGGTTTTTTTTGCCATAAGCATGAATATTCTCATCCTCAAGCCTCAGGATGTACCCTTCAGCAGAAGTGAATTCTACCAAAATGCCAACCTCCAGTCACGGAACAGTTCAACCTACTGGATGTCGAAAGAGGTTATGTCACTATACTGTAACAGGCTTATGTAATGGTCCCTGTTACATATTGTATACAGTAGAATGAGTTAAATAAATAAGGTATTGTTTTTGATCTCCATATATTGCCATACCTTGACACAGTACCAACTGATGGTTATTGCTTTGACTGTGAACTGCTTATTCCAATAAAATATCCTATGAAGCTTTTAGCATTTTGCATTATGTATATGCAAAATGGTAAATGGTTTTAAAAGCATAAGCTTGTAATGCATCATTAACACAAAGAGTACTGGTATTTGTCCAGCACATTGTTCATTAGGAAAGTAACCACGATCTACAGTAAATACAAAAAAACTTTCTGACCTTTAAATTGTTAATTATCTGCTTAGTCAAGGTGGTCACGGTTATGGAATTATTCAACACATGTTTTCAACAACAAAATATGTGACAGCAGCTTTATGAAACTACCAATCTGGAAATAAACAGTACCACTCTTGATGTACTGTATAATAAGCTTAATTCAATGCGTATATAATTTGCATTCTCACATACAAATATTTTTAAATAATATTTTGGTACAGTGAGAAGTAATAAAAAATGAGAGGTAATTGATAGAAAAAGCCAACATCTGCACAAATCCAGCTTCCTCTCTAATGTGCAATTGCCTGCTCATAGTACAATTCATTAGATATTCACATAGCTCCTTCCTGTACTTAAGCAAAAAAAATACCTTTACTTTTTTATTTGAATTGTCAGGATCAATGATGGAGTACGTGTTGTTTCATGGCGATCTGTTCTGCAAAGAGGTTTTCAATTAACTAATGTGCAGATTACCATCAATCTCCTTGGGAAGCAATGATAGTTCTCCACATTCATTTTTTTCAAGAAAAAAATCGTACAAGACATGATTAATCTTCTGCTGACATACTTGTTCACACTCTCAAATGACAGACATTCACCACGATACACTCTTTATATCCTGGAATTCGTAGATTGCTCACATAATGTGTTCAGGTTCTTTGTTACAAAATCACATCTGAATAAAACAGGCTTTTCCCTTCCTGTTTTAACCATTGTGTTTTTGTTGTGTTTTTAGACTGGTGCTGAAAGTGTACAGTAGGTCACCAGGTTAATTTGCTTAACCTTTGCAATTGAAAAAAATATATATTCTCAACCTTGAAATGGTATATTGAAATGATAAGCACATCAAAAGTGTTTTTTCTACACAGAGATAGAATGTCATTTCTTTAATAGATACACCAGAAGTGCTTTTTACAGATGACATAACACCTAAACTTTTCATGAATTATGTTGTGGTATAAGCATTTCAATTTGTCTTTTTTTATTTACAATTGTATTTTTTTATGTTATTGTTTTGGTCATAAAACTGTCAACCAATCAATCTTCCAGGCATATAACAATACAATATATCCTTAATAGAAAGAACATAACAGAAAGCGAAATTCACTTTAAAACGTGTGACAAGAGACATCAACAGTATATACTTAATTCAAAGGCAGTACATTTGTTAGTCTTAGTCATCATAAATGGCTTGTCCAAATTAATGGGTGTAATGTAGTGAGCCCATTTTATGCAATATCAGTGTTTGCCAGCGAAGCTAGCAAAGCAAGTAACATCTGGTCTTTCTTGAAAAGCCTTTTCTCAAAAAATGACAATAACACAACAGGAGGTTTGCTCTCCTGTCAGTGTGAGAAGTGTACGTTTGAAGGGGACATGGCTACAGTGAAGAATTCTGGCAGCTGATTAAAAAAGTGTCAGAGTGTCTGTGTTACTAATGAACTGAGGCGCATGAAACCAGTGAAAGCAGCAATTATATGATATGTACAGTGGAGCTGGTGAAAGCTGCCCACAGGCAGTTACTTTATTTAATGGAATTTTAACAATTCAACAAAACTAAGAGCTCATTTTCTTCACATATACAGGAATAACATCTAAAACCTTTGTTCAATGTCTCATCACATCCATATCATCAGATATCAGATGTTCTGCATGATATACTGTATATTGATATATGGTATATGGATATCAATAAATAGCTTTTGCTGAATTTCCTCACCAGTTCCTCATTTGCTTAAGTTTCAGATTGCTATTGGTAGACACCAGCATAAAATAAGAACAAGTAAAGATTTATTCCATGCTGAAAAGAAAAGAGAAAAAATACGTTTCCGCTGTGGAGCCTTCTTCGGGTGTTAGCAGCCAGCATGATTTCATTGCAATTGATGTTAAGCCTTGTATATCTACAGTACGTCTATATTATAGAAAACATTGACTGTAGGACTTTATTGCTTATTTCATGCTGGCCCAGGATTTTTTTCCATGATGATTGTTGGTAAAAGATGTCTAATTCTTAGATTCCATACATAATGTTGAACACATCTTTGCTTTTAAATCTTTGCTTTGCTTTTAATATTTGCTTTGATTCTTCACCATATCTTACAACTCTAGTCTATTGTTTGATATGTTCTTTTTTGGTTGCTTTGGTTTTCCTGAGATCATTCATTATGCATAATGTGTACAAATTATACACTTAAACTGACTGATGCACTTTCTACAGTATAAATATATATTGGCACAGTATCAGTTGAATCCTTGTTAAGACAAAGCACACCCTAATTTTAATTAGCTCTTTATTGTTTATTGGATTTTCATTAACAAACTAAAGTGTAAAACAAAGGAGGTAAAGTCCATACTCAAGGCTCAAACTTCCTCAGGCCAGATCTTATCCTGATTTCCATAACAATAAGCGAACTGTGAGCACATAACTCTAACCTTGATAGGACACTAATCCACGAGAGGGTTATCTCTCAGCAAGACTTGTACTTGTATACAGTAGCAGGTTTGACTGAAGCAACTGAGTAAAGGTATGTTGTTCAATGGTACAACAGCAGTGTCCAAATCAGGGACATTAACCCACACCTAGCCAGTTAGGAGTCCAGAGCACTAACCACTAATCCCAGTTCTGTTTATTTGTCATACGCTCTTAATTGAATCCCCCCAAAATTGTGCCAATAATCTCAGGTAGTTTTATAGATAAAGCTCAAATATGTTTTATAGATGAAAAGGCTGAAAGCATATACTGTAGTTGTCTTGGGACTCCTGGGACCCTGTAGCATTTGTATTGAATCTTTATGCAAAACATAAGACAATTCATTTCTTTCTGTGCCTGAAATACTATTTCACAATGCCTTTGCCAGTAGTTTGGAAAGTCAGAATTAAACTCCTGAAATCCCTGAAATTGATTATTTATTGTGAGATGCATGCAAGTAGGTTTTCATCAGGGTAGATATAAATACATGACAACACAATTTAGTTATACAAGTACATGACATACAGTACTGACATATCCCTGACAGTACATGGCATATCCAGAAGGCCTTTTCTTTTACAACAAAAGGTACTCCAGAACAAAACGTTTTTGAATGATTATTGTAGATTATGAAAGACTAATGAAAAATAATATCACAGCATTTTATATAGATTATGCTAGAGGTAATTAATTATTGATAAAGTGGATTTAGTATTAATGTTGGCATTAGACCACTCAAGGAATAGTCTAGTCTTCTACTTTCTTCTTTCCCAGAAACATTACAGTATATAAAGCAAGTTTTTCTTATGTTCAATTAAATGTTCTGCAGGAGACTTAAAGTCAAGATTTAAGTGTGATTTCTTAAATTTGAATAATAAATCAATAACACAGCACAAGATAAAAGTATTAATGGTTCCTTCCGTAACAATGAATTTCAGAAAAAAACTATTCTGTATGACATTGAATTGTTCCTAGTTATACTACAGCCATCCTTTCAACTTTGTTTATCAAAACATATTGTCAAGAGGCAGGTCCAGGGCAAACAACTTAGTGCCTTTATTTACAGTGCAGAGAATTTCAAAAACCACCAACAAACACCAAAACAGAAATGCAAGCTCTTCATTAAGCTCCTGCACACGCTACAAGTCCCTAACTTAAGCAACTGAAACTCCTACCAGCCTCAAAACAAAACAGTTCACAAAAACAATCTCTCCATAGTCTTTTTGTCCTCCAGATGACAAACATTTTACTCACTGACTGACCCTGGAAGCTGCCTCTTCCTGCTTCTTAAAGAGTCACCTGACCATTTGGCTTCCTGCTCCGTCTTGTCACAGAGCAGCAGATCATTCATAGGAAGCTGGGGAATGTCTCATACATCAGAAATAAAAATCATTATGCTCACACTAAAATAGAAGATTTAATCAATATTGCTCATATGCTGTACATTTCCAAATCATCCACATGAGATCTATGGGAATCAATTATCATGATCTTTGGTTATCAGTGAAATTAGTATTGAAGCAATATTTCTGATTAAACCATGGAACCTTCTCTATAACTATACAAATAATTATCTATACAACAGCTTAAAGTTCTTTCTATGGTACTATATTGCATAACACTTCAGTCACTGCAAGAGCACTGCTGCAGTCATTCATAAACTACTTCAAAAATCATAGTAAACAAATAAACCTACAAAATGTCAAATTCACTTGGGAAATTCCAGTATATGGGGAGAGAAATCAAGATAATGTATCTAGATGAAGAAAGCAATAACCAGAAATAGTCCAAAAATGTCCATATTCTCAGATCAACAAAGCTGTATTTCCTGTTGAAAATGTTCAAATTCAGTATCTCTCAAAATAACCCAGCCTTTTCTTTCTAGTTTCTTGGTCTTGGGCCAGGATCCCTGGGGTCCTTCAACGTCTTGGCTTTACGTACTTCGTACTGGCCTTGATGGAGACATTCTGTGCTAAAAAACATGCCTCTGAAGGTGAGGTATGTATGCCTCTTTAGACTCCCTATCACTACTTAGGGAAAAACTAGGTAACCTTTTTTATTGTTGATGCTGCTGACATTGTGTTTCTGTGTTTTGCCTGTGAACTATTTCATGTTTGTAAATCAATTAATGTTGTACTTAGAATTAAAATAGTAGAAATCATTATTTCTAATTTTTGTGAAATCTGAATCAAATGAATCTAAAGAGTGTCTTCTTATAAACAAGTAAAGTTTTTTTCCAGGCTGAAAAGAGAAGAAAAGAAACACAACGTTTCAGCTGTGGAGCCTTCTTTGAGTGACTCAAAGAAAGATCCACAGCCAAAACGTGTTTCTTTTCTTCTCTTTTCAGCATGGAATAAACCTATTGCTTGTTTCTTTGCAGCCTACGCATGCTGACGCAGCTACCTGCTTGAACTGCGTCATCTTCATATAGTATGTCCATCTGTATTCTGTGTATTATTTTGAAAATCAGCAGCTGACAAAAGAGTATTTTAATCTAAAATCTTTTACACAAAACTATTTAAAAACTTAAATTCTTTGAGAATAGAATTTCTTTTATCTAGGCCAAGACATAAATTGTTCTTTCACAGCAACAGTTGCACAGTCACTGATAGACATCCTAAATAATGTATGAGCTACTCCCAGTATCATACAGTATACAGTATAAAAGGTAGTTGCTCTCGTCAGCTGTCATAGTAGCAAAATGAATTACAAACTGTATTTTGGAAAAAAAGGCTGTAATCTAAAAGTTTTTAAGATGAGTGCATTTATTGTTTGAGCAGGGCTGCTGGTGGAGACCAATAAGAGATATTGTCCTGTACTGGCCAGAGTGGGTTTTTGTTTTTCTGCTAGAGATCATCTGGCTGTGCCTCACCTTTCTCCTGCCAGTCCCCAACTGCCCCACGTAAGCATTTCTCTCCCAGGTGTTTTAATTAAGGTTGTTATTTTAGTTCTTCAACATACAGTAGCATCCTGAAAATCTAATTCTATCTATTGCTATGGATATTATTATTATTAATAATAATATTCTTGTAAGCATAAACAGGCAAATAGAATCTTGTGGTTATACTGTAATAGTTTGCTATACAAGAGCAGTGGTATATGTTTACAGCCATTCATGTCTATAAATGATAAGGCTCATCACTCAGTCAAAGAAAAGGTAATACCAGCTGTTCTTTTGTAGCAACCATACCTTGGTAACACAAAGCAAAAGAGTTACATTGAATCAATGAATACCTGTCACAGAGGCTGCATGAGATAATGCAGTTTTAGGGAACTGAAGTTTTAGAATTAATTGAATAATGGCAATACATTTAAAATATATAAATATGTGTTTTTTGTCTTCTTTTGAAATAGTCTTGCATTCTTAATAAATTACTAATGTCCCTTTTGATTGTTAAGTCAATTAAAAGAAACATTTGATGATCAATTTCTACAGTGTTCTGCAATGATATACTGGTGACAACAACCACAGGAACACTTCGCCCAAATGTTAGCTAAATAAATATAATTAGATTCCTATGTTCCTATTAGGTACTGAAAACAAAACAAAGGTACATGGGCACAACGGACAGCTCTCGTTTTTCTAGCCTTAGGGAAAGAACAGGTTTTAGAGCAAAAAATACACCACATAATGTTTTCCTGGAACCTCTGTCAGCAGGGAACATCTTAAGATGGAGTGAACAATTAGGAAGAATAGGAAGTGTTACTCCAAGGAAGCACTTTGAAAAACTAGTGTGTTAAAAGTTCCTGCATAATTTCTCTGAAGGTCAAAGCAAGTGTGACAGGCTTAGTAAATTTAGGTTCTTAAGAATCTTACTGTAAAATACTACTGATTACTACTGTATATGAACAACATTATTTATAGACATTGGTGATATACTGTACCTGGACAAATATGGAAGCTACATGAGTGAGTGAAGTGCATAGTGACCTAATTGTTGGTACAAATTGAATACATACATTATTATGTTAGCAATTGATACCTTAATTACTGAAATACTTTCATTGCTACTGACAGAAAACTGAACTTCCAAAAGCCTCAAGCTTAACATTATGATATATGACATTGTGTGTATAGTACATTATATTGTGTACTGTATAACGCTGCCCTAGGCTAGGACTGTTACCCCTTCATCTGCTCGTCTATGGACAACATGTTGCACTATTGTACTTTTTGGACACACAATCTATATATACCTATGCACATTTTGCACATATTTTGTTGTCTTACAGTGACTATGAGCATATTTTGCACACACTTATTTATTGTATATTTATTTTATATTACTGTACGTATTTACATCTTTCGTCTATTCTGATGTCTGTTTTTGCTTGCCTTGGACTGGGCTGCTGTAACACCTCAATTTCCCTTCGGGATCAATAAAGTCTTATCTGTCTATCAATATTAATTCTGTAATTTGTGTTTAGCAGTGAGATTTAAATGTTACAATTGAAAGTAACCCTTGTGGTCTTATGTTATGATCACCTACAAGAAAAGACCTTTGCATGAGTGTTGCTAGTTGTTTTTCTTTAAGTGTGATTTGCTACTTATATTATTTCATCAAAGTGTTTTATTTTAAGCTGTATTTATCAATAAGCTGCAACAGACCAGTGCTTTTTCTGAAACTCTCGGCACCTGTCCAAGACGTTTTTCCTGCAGGTTTTCACTGCTGCCGATTCATCACAAATATTCAAGATACCTTATAAGATTATTACAGAAAATTGTGGTAAATCAATGCAATGTTCTGGAAAGCCCTTAATATGTAATAAACAGCAAACATAAAACATAATAAGGGTACTTATTCCAAATTGAAATCTGAAGTTAAGTAAAATATTTCAAGATTTACAACAAAATGAAATGGGTGGTTTTTCAGAATAAAAATGTAACCCTGTTCCCCATTATTCACATGGTTAATAATCCAGATCTCAGTATTTGACCTTTCACAGTTACAGTTCAGTCCAGCATCTTTACATTATACAAAGTGCACAAACTGTAAACTGTATGATAAGCTGTAGAACACATTTATATTTTAAGTTATAACCCATAAAGTAAACTCTTTTTCTTCCATAACCATGGAAAAGTAGTTTGAAACACCATGTAAGATATTGACTACCAGCAGTTTTAAAGCTAAAGAATCTTCCTGAATGTTATCCACAGGTCACAGTCTCTGAAGAAGGTGCTAAAAAATCTAATTAAAATACTGTAGTTATCATAGAAAGGAAAACAAAAATATTGCTAAACATGGAATAATGTTTAAAGACAGTAATGATGGGGCAGAGCGGTGGCTCTGTGGCTAAGGATCTGCGCCTGTGACTGGAAGGTTGCCGGTTCACATCCCGTGGCCGGCAGAGGAATCCTACTCCGTTGGGCCCCTGAGCAAGGCCCTTAACCCTAACTGCTCCAGGGGCGCCGTACAATGGCAGACCCTGCACTCTGACCCCAAGCTTCTCTCCCTGTCTCTGTGTCTGTGTCTCCATGGAGAAAAGCTGGGGTATACAAAAAGATGCATTCCTAATGCAAGAAATTGTATAGGGCTAATAAAGAAACATTACATTATATAGCATCTGGGCAGCAGTACAATCCAATATGATGTTTTTAGATCACCTTTAACTGTTGTTTTAATTTCCAATGCTCTACTTTCAGACTATGTTTTAGGGTTTATTACATCTGGATAATAGAGGGCTATAATAAATTTGTAGTTTAGTATAGTGATTCCCAATTTCCAGTCTTAAAAATAAGTACTTGTTCTCCAACAAACCTAAACAAATGTGTTCCTGACAGCATTTATCTCAATTAAATGACAGAAAAAAAGAAAATGTATCCTTTGCACTGAATAATAAACTTAGTTGAAGATCCATCCATCCATTTTCTAACTTCATTATCCAACACAGGGTTGTGGGGGAGCCAGAGTCTATCCCATTAAGCAACAGGCGCAAGACAGGATACACCCTGAATGGGTCACCAGTCCATCACAGGGCATACACAGACACAGACACAAAAACACACAGTTACTCTGGGGTCAATTTTCCCAGAAGCTTATTAACCCATCAGTATGTCTTTGGACTGTGGGAGCAAGTGGAAGAACCCAGAGGAAACCCACATGAATCCAGGAGAACATACAAACTCCAAACAGATAACACCTTAAGTCTGAAATCAAACCAGGACCCGAGCACTGTGAGGCAGTAATGCTAACCAGTGCACCACTCTGCCTCCCTTCCCTGAAACATTCAAACAAAAAGAATAAGCTCCATACTGCATGTGCAAATAAAATACTTGAGTATTTACCATCTGACATGGTAACTGCTGGCCTGGAACCCACTGGCTAATAGTCTTTCTGTCATTCAGAGAATAGATGAGTGTTCAATGAATTATTACTATAGACAAAGGTAATAAAGCAGCCTTTCACATGCCTGTCAACTCTCTTGAAAAATGCCTGCTTATGTAGTTAGGATCGGGCTTGTTTTCCGATGCTCCTTCAAGCTGTGGTCTGATGCGGTTTCATTTTCAAAAACCTATTGTACTTTTTCTCTTAAAGTGAAATATAAATCAAAATATTGCATTATGTTTGGAACATGCTGAGTAAACAATACATAATATGCATCTGTACTTAATAATATACTCAATGTGTTTTTTTCTGTCACAGTTTTATGAAAGTAAGCAATTGAAAACAGTATGTTTTTTATAAATGTTTTAATCATCTTAATATTTCACATCATCATTGTTCAGTTTGATTAATTTTTTCATACTGCACCAGGTTGAAGGTAAATAAGTTATTACTGCCTTGTAAAAAATGACTGGGTTATAATTATCTATTTTTTAATGATTAACAATTGTAAAGAGGTCTGTCAATTTAATCATTGTTCTTTTTTTAACTGTTTTTACAATTTTTATATTGGCTTTTTGCTTGACACTTTATGCATGTAGCAGATGAGTTACGTACTGTAGGAAGGTCTACAGTTGGTACCACTAAAATCAGACAGCAGCAAAGCTTTCTCTTTTAACCCTGCAAAACTTCCAGAATCCAAAACACACAGTAGCTTCTACTAGAATTAAGCCTAACGACTCTTTGTTGTTCTTATTTATTGTAGCTAAATGTTATTTTTGGGTAAAAGGACTACTGCGACTTCTATCAAACATACTTCACATACAGTATATAAGGTGTGCTGTAACATCAGCAAAACAGCCTACATTGATAATGAAATGTAACAGTTACTGTTGATATTAAAATATTATGGATATACTGCTTGATCGCCATGAAATGGAAATACTACAGTTCTAATTTTCTGAGTCTTATTCTATCTTGCACAGATGGAACCAATGGAATGATTTTTTCCCACCAAGCATCTGTTGTCTGTGTCTCACTGGGTCTCTTGTCCATTGAAGAACCACATGGTTTCTGATATTCCATATCTCTTCTGTGTTACCTACACTCTGTTGATAACCTACAGTGTTACTGTCCATGCTTAAATTTGATTGGTTAGCTTTAGTCCCCAGCACAACCCCCACAGTGGCTGTAAAAGAGTCTCATAAAATTAACACATTAGTGAACCTTCCTGTGCCAGGAATTATTGCTGTTCAATTAAGACTGGTTACAGATTGTTTGAGCTGAATATTCAGTCCAGTGTTTTATAACATTACTCCATTCTCAAGAACCAAAAAACATTGTTTCTTTTATTTTTACTTAGTAAAATGTAGATAGATCTAAACTTTATGTTTATATAATATTAGATGCCTTTTTAAATTTTGACAACAAAATGCCCATTCTTTTTGCATTTTGCCATGAATTTATATATATGATGATAAATTAATCAGTCTACACTTACTGTATGCACACATTCAAATTACTGTAATTACCTGGTATTACTTAGACACAGTATATTTTGTAATGCCCAATATATAAA